GGCTCCTATTCCTGACAAACAATTTTCCGGAACCACTGCTGTGTTGAACGGTATGTTTGGCACAGAAGCCGGTGCTCTTCATGGCCGACACATTACCGCAATCACACCACACGCCAGACTCGCAGACTATGGTCTCGACCTCGTGTCCCAAATGCTTGGACTTCTCGAAACAGTCGCCGCATATAATGCACAACACATTCAGCGAACAGTCGTGACAATGAAAACCCCAATCGTTGTCTTTCCACAGCTTCTCACACCTCTTGGTCTCTATAAACACTGAGTTTGCCATTCATTTCAATTGGATTCACATAATTTTTGCAATTAATTGAAAATGCAATTTACAAAACACTACAAATCATGGTTATCACAAAAGTTAAACAAATATTTGATTTTGCAAATAGTAGTATTGATATTGGAGATTTTTCTATAATTTTTCATGACTTCTAAGTTATTTTATAAAATGCATATTAAATTCTAATATATTTCGAGTAAATTAAATGCAATTTATTACTAATACAGTATTACTAAAAGCAATTTAAAATGCCGACAATTCTTACCTTCGTTTTCCATTATAACGTTTATTTGTGATATCCTATAGACGACTGGTATTATGTCTATTACTTTCACGATTAAGTATTGCTTTTATTAATGGATTTAAAAACTTTTTCTCCATAACTCTATTGTTGTCACACACATACACAATATGTCTATATATAATATATAAACTTTCTGTGAATTATGAGATAAATGCCATAACTTTAATCTGTTTTCTTTGGCTGGACTTTAATCCCAGTCCCCACTCGCGCACAGAATCTATTTCTGTGTATCAGTAAAACAGTACACTTGAACTAATGGGACCATACATACAGCCATTGTTCACAGAATACCTAGATTATCTATATTTTCTACACATTTATCGCACTTGTAATGCATATTGAATATTATAATTTATAATTAAACAAACGTTTGCACAAAAACCCAAATAAAAAATGAGACAAAACAATACAAATGATAATATTTATGTACACTTCATAAGCGATAAGTTATTCTCATTTAGTGACACAAATTAATGGCAAATACACTTCATTTGTTGTCGTCTTATAACTATTTGGTTTATTATATTTGTTAAATTGAATCACACACAAAAATCATAGACTAAACTAATGTCAATATTATTCACATATGTCTTTGTTGGCAAGCATTCAATATTTTTAAACACATATTTATGTCGTTTGGAAAAGGTTTCCATTGTTTTGAATTTGTATATAACTTATATGAGTAAGATAAAAGTTACATTTTTTATAAGAATAACCCAGAATTTTAAATGATAACAATAAATTTTTATAGACGTATAAAAATAATTGAATTTAGTTTACCAGACATTTTCTAATGATAATAATGAACATAATTAAAAACAATAAAATTCTTATTTTATTCAATACTTATTTAATAATAAAGAGAATTCTGTACAAATAATCATTTATTATTTAATTTGAAGTTTTTATCACAGAATTTATGAATTTAGTTAGCATTAGAGTAAAGAATAATATTTTGAGTTATTTTTATAACATTTAATCAATTGTTATCCTTTGATACGTCAGAGACTTATTTTAGACAAGATTTGTATAAATAGTTTCGCAAACATGAGTAACAAAAGCATGCAATGATCACACAATTAACACGTTTACAACTAAATGATTAAATATTTTATGATATTTCTCATAATAATAGTATAATACAAAGAAATCCTATTGCTTGTACAAAGTATAAAATGCTATTGAATTAAATGACATGAAAATGATATTTACTTGAAATATAAAATTAAAAACTGTATAAAGAATTTAATTTAAATATTGTAAAAAACATATGGTTTTGAATGTTTCTGATATTTATTCTATATTTAAGTCAAACAATTAGGAAATTCAATTATTTTTAATTTTTCTACATTTGTACAGTCATTGAAGTGTTAATTCTTGTAATTAGTTTTTCTTTAGTCTACCCACACATACAAACTCTCTCTCTCTCTCTCTCTCTCACACACACACACACACACACACACTCACTCACTCAAACACACATTGATGCAATCAATTTAAAATATATTTTATGAAATCATAAAAATATCACACTTTAGCACAAGAATTACATCTTAGAGCATATTCAAGAATAAGTCTCAAGTAGTAAAAATACTAATTTATATAGTATTTAGTATTTCTCATTTTATTAACTATTCTGACGTCTTTGGGGTAATTCAATAAACTTAAGGATTCGTCAAATACACTGTATTTCTAATTAATATTTATTACGATATTAATAAGTAAACATTTTACTTCAATATGTACAGTACTGTCATAAATTTTATTGTTTTTTTATGAAATACATAACAAATGTTTCTCAACTTTTTTGATATAAATCTTAATACATTAATAAATTTATTATTATTACAAAACAGAAATAAAATGTTATTTTGTAACAATATTCATGTGTCTAGTTTATTAGACGTTAATTAAGTTTGTCCACAACTTGTACTGATTGAAGTCTAGTTGAAAATAATTAATTATATAAATTAACAAATTAATGAAGTTTTAAATAAAAATTTGAAATGGGAAACAAATATTTTGATTAATAAATACCTTATCGTTGGGCAGAAATACAGCACACATTGAATGCATTCCTATTTCCATATATTTGTCAAATACTTCAATACTATATCTTTGTATTTGTTGTTGATATCGACTTTCAAAAAGTTTGCATAAATAGTGATCATGTGTTCAATTACTTCCGCCAAAATTCTTAGCATTTTTATCCCATTTTCCACAAAACGAGTGTTTGTTTCCCCCTATTTTGATACAAAATTAAAAGGTATTTAATTAAATTTTAAATAATTCATTTTTCACATTAAAGTTTTGATTACAAAATATTTTCATAGATTTTTAAAGACAATCTTTTTATATAAATCTATGAATAACATGAAGTTTAAAATATTTTCTCAAATTACTTTATAATTGAGATCTAAGGGCTAAGGATTTAAATTGATTTCATACATGAATTCATTTCATGAAAGTTATTTTAGAGGAATCTATAAGAAATTAATTATTATTATTGTTTTACTTTTATATAAATGAGAGAAAAAGTTGCTTTTGATTGTTTGCTCATTAAAAAAGTCGTTTTGATTGAATCAAAAGACAAGAATAAAATCCAATAAAATAAATGGAGAGAAAATCCTATAAATAAATGCCAAAAGCTATACAATGTCTTAAGAGTTAAGTCTTTTTGCGCTACACTTTATATAATATATTATGATTTATAGTGAACACTCATTATAACGAATCATTGAATATAAATTTGTAAAATATGGGCTCTTTATTAGCCATCTATTATTAATAGCATAATTGGCGACCATATCGTAGTACATGGATGTCTGGTGCGGTAACTCTATTCAAATGTGTGTTTCTCTCAACAGTTTATTATAATGAACACCAACTGTATATGGAGTACACAAAAGTCATCCTACGGTAAGCCAACACTCGATACAAATGTCAACTCAGATATTAGATGTGATATTAGATATTTGTCTCCTGTTTTTAGTCATACCATTAGTGTAGTCCTCTCTGCCCTCAAACCAACCTATGCTTCGTACATACGTACTCTGATTGCACAGGCATTAAGTCTAATATAATTAATTTTTGCGGCACTGGTAGCCCTACGAGTGTACATTTGTGTAAAACACTCGGGCACAGGGAGACCGAGTGGCATATTACTTGTGTTAACATTTATTTTAATTATATTATCATTAATTTTTTGCCTAATAGTTATTATAGCGAATATTAATTGAATTTAGTTTTAGCAAAACTAATGTGGAATAATTTTTTATTATTAAATTATTGCCAAAAATATTGGTATAAATTAGTTTTGACATGTTATTAAAAATACTTTAGCTAGAAAACAAAACTAAAATTGCATTATATTTTCGACAAATTAATCATAAACCCAATGATGTATTCATTGACGACAACTAATATAGTATTTTGATAAGAGTTTTTGAAAATCAATTTAATTTTCATATTCATTATAAACTAACTTTCAATGAGAGACACAAATGCATTGAATATGACTTTTATATTCTGTACTCTATATTGTTATACGAGTTTTGATTCACAAACAAATTTCTTCGAAAAACTCTTTATGATTGAATTGAATGCTAAGAATATATCGACATTTCATACATAAATAGAGATATATTTGTATCAAAAACGCATTTCTTAGTGAAAAGATGTCATTTCTATACATGAATGCAAATTCATAATGTATTTCAATACGAAAAGCGCGTCAATATATGAATACAAAAATTTATAAGAAGCTAAAAAATGCAATCCATATATTGCTTCACATGAAATGCAAAAATGCAGATTTTATTGTTGGTTATAATGAGACCTATTTAGAAAATTAATGAACATTTATGTGTAATAATATATTATGTAAATGTCAGTAATTTAGAAAAATGAACTCTCATTATAGCGAAAAATGCAACAAAATTTTACACTTAAATAACGCTTTAATTATTAGACAAATACAATATAACTACGAATATAATGTTTAGTACGAAAACTACAATACATTTGATTTCATTAAATGAACGCAAAATATTTTTAGCTAAAATTAAATCATTGAATCAGAAAATAAGTGCAAAATTCTGTTTGAAAACATAAATACACTTTTTATAATTAGATGAAACTATAACACATTAATTGAAATACTGTACACATAAAACTCTACTTATATTAAATAGCAGTCAAAAGATTTTATGACTTAAATATTATATTAAAATTTTTTCGGAGAATATTTTGTAATCCTATCGTTTTTATGTGGATACTTAAGAATTAATCCTTAAATCTTAGTACAAAATTTCAGGGCATCTTATTCTTATAAGTTATAAAAAACGTATAAATTTTGTTTCATTGCAAAACACTTTTTATAATTAGATGAAACTATAACACATTAATTGAAATACTGTACACATAAAACTCTACTTATATTAAATAGCAGTCAAAAGATTTTATGACTTAAATATTATATTAAAATTTTTTCGGAG